CTTTGATGTGCACCTTAGCCATACCGGGCTAGTGTCCCGAGCTTCCCATCCTGCGTTTCCTGAGGGAGCACCTTGTAGGCCGCTGCAGTGGCTGAGAGCATGACAGCACGTGGCCTGCTTGTCTCCATCCTGCATTCCCTCTGCCTCACCCTCAGGGGCGGTGGGAGTGGCTGATGGCTTGATGGCTGCGACATCCTTTGTTTACTGGTGTGACAGGCAGTAAGTTTCATTACAGGAACAATAAATACTTCAGTATATTTGGAGTCTGTAGAGGCAGTGTGGATTGGAGATGGGGAATGACGTTCTAAGAAATGAGCAGAGGCCAAGAGACACAAGAAGAAATTTGGTCTGGCATCTTCAGGATAAGGGAGGGTTGGGGGAGGTTCTAAGCTAGTGTGTGATGATAGATCGATTGTGGCTGCACTGTAGGGAGGTGGATGGAGGGAGGCCTGGCAGGGGTGGCAGCGGCCCTGGGGAGAGCACTGGGTAATGGTGGGGGCTGGAGAGAATTGGTTTCACTCGCTTCTTATGCAGCATGTGGAGTAAGTGGAAAAGATGGTGCACTTATGTGTGCAGGATATGGGGGAAGGAGGCGGGTCAAGAGGGTACCCGCGTTTCCAGCTTAGTCAACTGGATGTAGGCTTACAATCCTAGAGCAGTGCTGGAGTCCTCAGGTGTGGGCCAGCAGCATTCGCACCACGTGGGTGCTGATGGAAAATGCAAATTCCCCGGCTTGACTCCAGACCAGGAGAATGAGCAATCTGTGGGGAGGGGACCAGTGGTCTGTGTCTCACAAGGTCAGGTGATCCTGATGCACGCTTACATTTGAAAAGCAATGTTTTAGCTCATGGGCCTTCCGACTATTTTGCTCAGGACTCTGAAAAATGTTTGCAAAAATATGTACAATTCACGTATTTTAAATTTGATATCCAAATGTTTTCTTTTTAAGTATAGTAGTTGCAAAGGATGTAATTTCCATCATATTAAAAATATTGTATCTTTTAAATACAGTCAATGAAATCAAAATACTGTAGCAGTTTGGTGCAACCTCCACACACTGAGAAGATAAACAGCTAAAACAAGAAATGAACAAGCTTTTTTTTAAACAATTTAGCAACTTCAAAATGCTTCATTCCTCAAACATTCATACCCTTTTAATTTCCGAGTTTTATACTACATTCTGTTAGTCAACCTACTGTACTTATCTGCAACAAAAATATGACTGTAATAAAATATTCATCCTCAATCTAGATAGAACTGTTTTATTACATAATTGATAAAAGAGCATAACTTTTTATAATTTTGATAGTAATTATTAAACGTAATAAGTAAAACATTATTGAAACATATCTCTTAATGAGATGAGTAGGACTTGACAGTTTAATTCATGTATCTGTAGATAAATGTGACATATTAATAAGACAAACATCAGCATCAGTTCTATTCATATTTGATTTTTTCTAATGAAAATTAAAAAAAACCCAAACACCCTATTCATATAATAAACAGAGGGAATGAAAGGAGTTTTATTATAGAAATTCTGCCTAACTGTTCTGAACTCTTTCCAGGATGTATGCCAAAATATCACAGAATAACCTTGCATCAAAAATGTTTAGTGCTGTAGCTCCCCTCTGCAATTCTTTTGAAAGCAAAGGAGTAGAAATTCCCTGACTTACAATGGAATTTGCAACTCAGTCTCTGAAGTTATCAGAATTTTTCATGACATCTCGAGTATACAAACAGACAATGGCCAGACCGTATGTGACCACAGT